CCCTCTCCCATGTGCTCAGACCCCCCCAAGTCCCCCGATCTTCCCTCCGTTCATACGGAAAACCCTTCTTCACTTTCCCCACTTTTTATTCGAAATCAGAACCCCTTCTTCCGTATTCCCCTTCTTTTCTTTCCCAACCAGCACCCCTTGAGTCTTGCCCCCATACCCATGCCTTCCTCCATACCTTTCACCTTGTTCCTTCATGATTTCCACTTCATTATCCCTCCTATGACAATTAGAATTTGCTGTTTTCCCCACCGATTCTTTTGCCTCTGATGCCACTGTTTGAATTTGATTCTCCAATAACTTCGTCATCATCGCATGAAGATCTGAAATTTTGCCTTCCACGGATGAGATTCGATCTTCCATCGTGGCTTTTATTTGGCTCATCTCTCCTTCCAAGCTTTCCTTCAACGCGTCACCTTCTTGGCCGCCATAAAAATTCTGGGTTTTGCTCCAAAATCAGCAAAAATTTCTTCCTCTGGATGCAATTTCGCCACTAAAATTTCAAAAAATCTGTCTTCGATGGTCTCAAGACTTGCTCTGATACCAATTTGATAGGAAATACTTGTAGATCTCAAGTATTTCTTATCAATCCTCGAAAAACAGCGAGAGTTCTCCACAAAAATCCACTCAAAATCATGAAAACAGTAGATAATTTGTATTATTTGATAAAAGGGGAAACAAAAAATATCAAGATACAATTGATCCTCTATTCGAGAGGAGGATCTATCTCTTTCAAATCTGTAGACGTTGCTAGAGCCCAAAACCTAAACCTAAGAGATATCAGATTTAAGCCAAATTCAAGATACCATAATCCTTGGAAACCAACTATTTAATGCGTACAATCCAAAAGAAAATATCTAAACAGTCCCTACATTCAAATTTCCATCCTAACTCCCCCAAAAATCCTTCCCAAGAAGCTCCAATGGACCCAGCGGTTTCTAGTGGCATACAGGAGAGGCGGAAGAGTTCCGCTTCTGTCCGACTGAGCCGGTCCCCTGTGGATTGGTTGGACCGGTCTATTGGATTGGCTGGACCGATCTAACATATGCTTTCTATGTTGTTGATGATGCCAATGTTGCCTCTCGTCTGGAAGGTCAACTATATTTCTAGCTATGTGATGTTTTCAAAGAGGTGCATGAGACCCATTTTCTTGATGGTGGCTAGCTTATCTACGGTTTCATTTCTTAAGTCATTTAATGAACAATATTCTTGTGTGTTTATGTTTTAAAAGCTATTCTTTTGGGATTAAGATTTTTAAGAATTCCAAGAGGAAAAGGAAAGATACATAGAGTTGTACCTTCATTAAAATTCTTTGACGTTTATGCTAATTTAATGTCTGGATTGATTAGGGATCATCAAATCTACCCATGATCCGATTAAAATAATTTTCAGGAGTTTTTGTTTTTGCAGCAAAATGGAATAATGCTCTTCTTGGTTTTTTGACCCATTGGCTCGATGTTTTGACAGAATGTACCAGTTTCTCATTGTTTTCTGTTCGTGCAACAACATTCATAGTTATAGGAAAATGTTATGATGAGGAAACAAAACATTCAGATGTGCTATGAGGCAAGCCTACAGTATAACCCTAGATAAAATTGAATGTGTTAACATTTGACATTAGATAAGTAACGTTTGCATAAGGTCAGTTTAGGAACTATCTATCTAGCACGTATTCAAGTCTATTGGAATATAGTGTGCTAGTTTTATAATTTTAGGCAATATGCAATCTCACCATCATAACGCTCATCATTTGATATGGAAAGTAAATCACTTAGGTTGTATTAAAGCTGTGATTGTTTTGTAATGGACACTAAACTCATACTTATGCGGAAAATTGGAATTTTCTACGCATGGACCAAAATTATTGTAGTAGTCTTGCATTTCAACACATGATCCAACTCTTCAATTCTGTATCTATACAGTAGAGTGTTGTTGAACCTTAACTTTGTGTAGGTGGCCTTCAAGATGAAGCTCTGAACTCTGGGGTGAAGCAACATGAGTAGATGCCTTTGCGTTCAAGCGTGCCAGTCATCTTTGAATGGAAAGGAAGATTTCTGTTTGGCCTCTTCTTGGTTCAATTTACTCGGACTGTTTCCATAGGGTCAGTTCAAGTCCATTTGGGTTTGGTTCCTCCAAATGGTCCTCTCCTTGTCTTATAAGTGTTTCAATGGATTAGTTTCAGGTTTGGATAAGGATAAAATTTTGGTTTTGGGTAGGCTTTCCATTTTGAAATTCAACAAGGTGTTGAACTTTTTTTGGAAATGGATTGTGGGAAAAATTGTAATTTTTGCAGGGATAAGGGAGGTAGAGGCTGCTGGTGAGCTACTGTACTCCGTGTACATAGTAGCGAAGAAGATGATGGAATCAGCTTTGGCTGTTTAGTAGGCGTATATAAAAAAAACAGCTAACGGGCAACAGGAACGTGAAGGAATCAGCTACAAAGTATCATCGGAGGTATTAATCGTATACTATATTTTACGCTATTGCAACAAGGATTTTTAACACAACGGAAGGTATCGCAGCTTTGAGCAGCATCGGCGTAAATTTTCAGCAGACGCGGAACCAAACATCAACAATTATGCGGCAGATATTGAACTAATTCTGCAATTGCATATTTTTCTGTGTAGGGGACCACAATTACACCTCCTTTTTATGGTTTTATAATGTTATTTGCTGATTAAAAGGGCGGGAGAAGGGAGGTTGGGAGGTACTGGTGGTAATCTGGAAGACCAGAAACTAATGCAAGGAAGGTTGTTATCTGCTGGTCCTTTAGCAGTCCGCAGTTCAGTGGCTGAAATGAGTTTCAGCTATGTATGCAGCAATAAAGAAACCTAGAAAAGGAATCATAGGGAGTGAGATTTGAAACTAAGGGAAGAAAGGAATGGGGGGAGAAAGGTAGAGGGTGAGAGCAATTGCTTATATATATATATGTGTGTGTGTGTTTGTGTGTATAAGTTTTAAATACGTCAGTTGAATCAAGCTAAATTATTAATAAATATTGAATGGCCATCAAGCCTTTGATTATGTCTGCTTGATTATCAGCAGTCGATATCATCCATAGAAGTTTTCAGTGTCCTTGGATGTTCTCCATCCAAATATTTTATGTTGGTAGTATGGTCAACTTCATTCGAAAAGTTTCTGCTCTAAAGTTGGCGTGAAAATTGGTAATTGTTTACATGGACTTCAGTTCTAATTGGGCAAGAAATGGGAACCTTGTATTAGCTCTTGTTTAAAGTTTGTCCTCTATACAAACTTGCCATAATAATCGAAGGTGGATATGGATGGATAAAATCAAAGTACTTTAGAGGGTGCATTTGCTGCTACTGTGGAAGATTGCTAAAAAAATTGTTGAAGGAGATTCTGATTAGAAGTATTCATGGATCAGCAAGTTTGATCTCCTAATGAGGAGATGTAAGTGGGTTGAACTACACATTATGGATAACCAAATATTATGTGATGGATGGGATTCAAAGTTTCGAGGTGTCCTGATTGAGGAAGTTACCACACCTCTCTCTAAATACTGCTGGATGAGTTGCTAAATATTGTTATTTTTTGTCATTGCTATTCTGAACTAGGGGTGAAACGAGTCGAGTCGAGTTAAGTTTAGGCCCTTATCGAGCTCGGCTTATTAGTTGGAAAGCGAGCTCAAACTCGAGCTCGTCTCACTGTAAACGAGCTCGAGCCGGCTCGTGAGCCGTGGGAGGGAATTTTTAAATTTAGGTGGGATTTTTAAAACTTAAGAGGGATTTTTAAAACTTTATCAAAATTTAGAAAACAATATGAAATATTTAACATTTAAATAAAACTTAAGTTGTTTTATTAATTTTTTTAATATTTAAATTTAATAAATAAAATAAAATTATTTTAAAAATATTAATATTTATTCGAGCCAGCTCGTGAGCTCACGAGCCGAGCCGGTTCAAGCTCGAAATCGAGCTTGTTTACTAAAGGAGCTCGATAAGTTCAGCTCGTGAGCTCATAAACAAGTCGAGCTCGAGCCGGCTTGGCTCACTTGCACCCCTATTCTAAACTATAATTATGTTATTTGATCAGTAAGACTTTGGATTGTAGTAAGACTTTGGATTGTTGTAATCTCTGTGATTACCTCAATTTGAGTCTCTTTCAGTATAATTTTAATATGTACGAAAAAGGAGTGGGTTTCCCATTCCACGTAGATCTCAAGATTATTCTCATCCCAATTAGCTTTATGTATTACCTTCGGAAGTTATGTCTAGTCATTTTTTTATCCGGGGCATTGCTTTTGCATCGGCTGGAATTGCCAGGTAATCAGCATGGGTGGTGTTGGTTGGAAGGTGCAGTTGAGTTATAGTCAATAAAAGTTCACTTTTCTGGGCCTCTGTCAAGCTATGCTTTTTATGTCATTCCCGTTATATCCTGTTAGAAACAGGCAGTTCATCAACATCATAAGCAAACAAGTTTCAAGGAAGGCTCACCGCTCAAGCAAAGTTTTACTGGGATCAAGTTTACTTTTAACCTTATAAAGTTGAAAACTTGCAGTTTCCAATTGCCACCTAAGGGGCGAAAGAAGCTACATCCATGTGCTATTTCCTCTTGAGTAAAGAGTCATATACTTCCCTATTAAAGAAAGGTAGAGGCTCAACAAAACCAGACTGTGTAGACTTGGAGAAGTAGAATACAGTAATAACTATATTGAATTTCATGGGCTACAAGGAAGAGTGACCAGTCCATGTTGTAGGGCCTGATTGATTGCTTCAAAAACTACTAATTGTTGCAGCTCATAGAAGTATGGATCTGTCAAATTGGTCAAGTGCATAGTTGTAGATACATGTTTATCCTTAATGTTTAAAGTTTAAGGTGGTCTTTAAAAGACTTGTTATTTCCTGTTCATCTTTATCCTCGATTCTTTTTTTGTTCTTTATTATCATTGATTCTATTCTTAATTTCATTGGAAATATGTTATGGAAGAATGATGAAGGACCCTTACAAATCTGTACTTTTTCGCTTCCTGATAGGATCTTTCTGATGCACAATGGAGAAACTTTCATGGAAATTTACCCATTCTTACCTTTGTTTTGGGACTTTTCACTTTTGGAGCAAATACCCTGAGAAGCCAATTTTACTTGAAAGCGAAGGAGATGTCAGTTGTCTGGTTTTTAATATCGTTGGCATACATATTACATTTACATGGAGCATGGTATGCATTTTTGTTTCTGACATACTTTCTTTTGAATGTAGTTGACATGCTCTTATTTTATTAATCCATCAATTCTTAAAATTGCAGTGTAGTGTTTGTCCTCTCAATTGCCTCAGTGAACTATTTCCTTTCAAAGGTTTGCTTTTTTCTCTAGCTTCTTTTGAAATTTGAAAAACTTGACTTTATTTTGATAAGCACAACAAAATAGTTATGGGAAATGGCCTTGACTAACTTGACATCTTGATATTTATTCTGGTAAACTTTTGTTGGCTGATTACGAAAAAAGGCGTACTTAGTTCATGAAGATCTTGCGCCTACAGGTTTGGAAGGGGTTTCTTTAAGCATTTTACCCTTGCCTTGAGAGATGTTTCTGTGTAACTTTTACTGGTGGAGGGGTTGATTTAAGCAATTTTACCCTTTAGTTAGCGGAGAGTTTGATCCATGAAACTTTTACTGGTTGATTACCTATCACTTATTTTTTTTCTTTTTTCAGTCTTGTAAAAATAGAAATTACTCATTGAAAGTTCTTATTTCCACCGAGCTGTTTATATGCATCTCCATAAGTAGTAAAACTTGAAGAAGTTCTATTCTCTATCCATGCCAATGTGTGGCCTTAGATGATTTGGTCACATAAAACATTGGCCTTCTGATGACCCGTTTAAGAGAGTAAATGTATTAGATTTGGATTATGTTAAGAAAGGTAGAGATAGATCTAAAAAGACTTGGTTATAAATATTTGAAATGACCTTTTTTATTAGATTTAAATGGGAATTTGACTCTTAACAGAACACAACGGAGAAAAAGGATTCATGTAGCTGACCCCACGTGGTGGGATAAATGCTTAATGTTATTTTTTAAGTATTCCTGATGTTAATTCTAATTTAAGGCAATTTACTACTTATTAATATCCATGATTTATTGAACTTATGAACTCATTCATGTTCTTAAGGTCAATATTAAATTTTTAGCTTGATTTAAATATTTATAAGTAAAAATATGCCTTTTTCATTTTTTTGTTTAATAATAAGTGTAAATGTCCATGTTTCAGAAGTTTTCTCATCTTTTTCCTTATCAATTTGCTTATTTTGGCAGATTTTGGCAAAATCAAAATCTTACCTATATGTGCTCTGGATTTTCAACATATCAATTCTCTTGTTGAACCGCATCTATGACGGATACTCTTTCTCTTTATTTGGGTTTGTAACATGAAGCTTCAGATATTGAATTCATTTATCTTCCGATTCAATTTTTTTGATTTGAACTTCATTTACTTTCCGTCAAAAGGAATCACTGGGCATTTTTGGACAGCTATCGCGGCTCCTTTCGATGGCAGATATGCTTTAATCTTGGTAATCTACATAAAAGTTTGTTCTTGAAAACTTCTGTACCTGAATTTATCTATAATTGTCAAATGCTGTCATCTAAAGTCTTGGTTTTGTATTTTGCTGTTAAGATCAGTAAGTCAGGGATAAGTGGAGTAGCCTAATAGTGCTTATATGTTGAGCTTGCAATTGCATTTGTTATACAAATTGGATGATTATAAATTTATACATGTTTACTTGTGCTGCTTTCTCCTATTTGTTTCAGTTACAACCTTTTTATCATCAAATATAACAATTGGGTCAGAGCACCGTTGAATTTTATTTAGTGTAGGATTCATAAAGTATGATTTTTTCCATGCAGTCGCATGCTTTTCTAATTTTCAGCTGACATTTTGTCTTGGTGGCCTCAGCTTCTTACTCACTTTTCATTGTTCCAAACGTAACTCAGAACATAATATTTCATTCTATTGTAATCTATATACCGGGACGGTTCATTACACGTAAAGGTAGATTGTTGGAATCTTGTGCAGTTATTGAATTGATGTATCCATTTTCAGATTTACCAAAATTGTAGTTATAAATAAGAAAGGAGTTAATTTGACTGCACCATACGTGATATGGAAAAATGATTTCCATATTCTTGAGTTATAGATAAAGAATGATTTTCTACAATCTAGATCATCGAGGAAGAATTTATGAAACATGGATCCATTTTATGTTTTCTATCGTTGAAGTTATTCATCTTCTCTGCCAGTTTTCAATGATTCTTTGTTATCCTACATTAGTGGCTACCCATGTGTGTCAGGTTTCCAAAACACGTAAATACAAGATGTTCAACAGTATTAGAATTGCAAAATTATTATCTGTATGGTTGCTGGATGTGATTTTTTTTTTGGTTGCAGTTGTTTTACGAATGGTAAGTTTTGGATGCGACTATTATTGGTCAGTAAAGGAAACTCAGTTTGACCAAAAGGTATGCTATTGAGTATTGGTCATCTTACGTGCTTGTTATCCTTTTTTTGTGATTCCTTAATTCTGTTGATGTATTTTTCTTTTATCAACAAACAATATCTATGCATATGCCGGCTTAGCATGGTTTTCTTATATTTTATCTTGCCATTAGTTAATTCAAATATATTAAATATTTATCTTAACAGGTTATCCTTATGTTTTATCTTCGACTAGTTAGTTCAAAGATAATAAGCGCACATGCAAGATTTATCTTTCAAAACATATATTCATTGTTAAACTTCAAAATCTTCCATAATATTCTTTATAATGGCACTACACGTTTTTTATTTTAGTAGCTTTTTCCTGTGTTTAAAATGTTTAAATTTTAATAGCCTTTCATCCTGCATTTTTTTAGAAACTTTATTACATTGGGCTCAATTTTTCTTGATATGATTATTATCTCCTTGTAAAGGTTGAAAGAATTATCTCATTTTGATATTTTTATGTACAACTTTTAAACCTAAAAATATTATTTAGGTTGGATTTGGACCATTTGGTTACAATGGTATGATTTCCCTTATCCTGCCCTGGACATCATGTATTCAAATCATGGATAGACTTTATCTGCTATATTAAGTGGTAAGTTTGTGTAAATGAACGGATATCCAAGTCATCCGTAGAGTTGTAGTTTATTGTTTCCATGCACTGATCACACTCATTCTCTTAAATATATGTTTTTGTTCTATATATTTAAATGATGAATTGAGTTTTATATCGAAAGCTTACTTCTGGATAGAAAACCTAGGCTTGCATTATTTATTTTTTTATCAATTAGCTTGCATATATGTAGATCTTCTTTCTACTCTTGTTCACACTATTTTTTATTTTCTTATCCGTGTTTTGAATTTATTTAGAATTGTCCTTCATGTTTGGTGAATTGCATAATTTGATGATTACTAGTATAATTATGGTTTTCTTTGTACCGTATTGATTCTTTGACCATGAGAATTCATTATTATTTTTTTATATCTAACCATGTTTTATGGATTCAGAAACACATAGTATGTTGTTCCATTTGTTCTTCTGGAAAGGCGTGCTACCACTTTCTTCAGGTTTGAGGTTTTCTTTTGTTTACCTAGTAATTTGCATGACCTTGTGGTTTGATCTTCGGTTGGTCCATGTTGGGTTTTTGGTGCTTATGGAATTAATGTTGAGAGGAAAAACTGTCAAAACTAAAAGTGGAGGAGTATATTCTTGCAATGCATTATATGATGGCATTATAAAACACAATAGAAAACACATTTAGATAAGGGGCTCTTTGGTTGTCTGAAAAAGGAATGCAGTGTAAAAGGATATTTTGGAGTTGTTTAAATGATTGTAAAAGAAATGCATGAAATTATTATTTTTTGTTTGATTTGAAATAAAATGAATGTAATGTAAAGTGCAAAAAGGTAGTGATCAGTGGCTGGCATTGGCGGCGGTGTGGTTGGTGGCAGGTGACCGGCAGTAGTGGGTGGCAGCCGACGGTGGCGGTTGACAACATCATCAATTGCTATGAATTTCCGGTGTATTTGGAACTCGCCCAAATCGGAGGCATTCCAAATACACGTAATGAACTAGATAGTGTATTTCAAATGCATTAAAATTTTACGCTGCATTTGTTATACTTCAAACCAAACGTCAATATTTTCAAAACCCCTGTTTTTGAAATACTTTACACTCCTTTTGCAGTCAATCATGCAGCCAATACATATATTCTTTCTAATCTTGTGCTTCTATCACTTAGGTCAGCACTAACATTTGTTGAAAGAGATTCAAACATCCTTTTCACCAATAATTGTTATACGAATCATTGATGCTATTTTTAAACTTAATACCAGCTTCTCCTTCTTTGAATGAACAATATTTTTTTTTTAAACTTGTAGGTGATTTTTACTTATTATTGGATAGATTTTTAGATAGATATTATCTTCAAGTAGGTCTGTCAAATATGCTATTAAGGGCTGTCTTTAAACCCATTAAATAATCCTTGAAATGGCCATAATGGGTTTGGGTTAGCCTTGATTTACAAATGACTGTTGGATAGTCCATTATGGCCCGTTTAGATTTTTTTATCATACAATGCATTTTATCCCTTTGAGATTAGAAGCTTAAATGCTAGTTAGACACAAACTTAAAATATTGTCAACTTGGACAAAATATTATGCAGTACGGTTGTTGTAGTCCTTGTCAGTTATGACACCTGTCGTCAATAATAAACAATTGTGGTCTCTGGCCATAGTGCTTGTTAGGGGTATCATTAGTCTCGGTTGGTGGTGGTCGCTGCTTGCTTTCAATGGTAGTATCCATTGTCTGCTGATGCAAGCAAACTAGAAAGAAAAGCCAGATAAGGAGAACAATGTGCAACACTATAACCAAACTCGATTCAAATAGTAGCAATCATCTAAAACATAAAACCGATGGACAAACTTAGAATTGAAATAAACAAAAGAAAAAAAAAACGCTATCCTCAGAACAACCGACAGAACGGTTTCCTCACATGCATCGAAATGTAGGTTAAGTAAAGTATGTGCTTAGGCTAGCAAACCGATGGTCCACCACAGCAAGAAGGTCCAAACGTCCAACCAAACTCCTCCGAAAAATGCTTCCAAATCAACCAACCAACAACACTAGGAAGCTCAAAAAGAAAGATACAAGTGGGGTGGAACTTGCGTAGAGAAGAAGAGGTAAGAAGCCCAGACGAAGTAGAGAAGAGAAAGAAGTGGAACAAGCTCTCAAGCTTTTCCAAGAAGAAGAGATCAGGTTTTAGAGACTTTGCTCAATAATTTTCAACAACCATTTCCTTCTAAAACATCTTCTATATATAGGCAAGAGAGGGGAACTAAACAGCCATAGCACCTCCAACTAAATCAATTAGATTTAGGGAAATGAAAGGCCAACATCCACAAAATAACAGCTCCCAAGCCGGTCCAGGAAATAGAGCAAAAAGGCCACGGAAGACCCAGCTGGAAGCCATGGGAAACCCAGCCAGCAGGGATCCCGAACAGCCATCGCAGAGAACAAATTGTAGGCTTAGGAAAAATAGCCAAGGCCAAGGGAACAACAAAAGCCCAAGAGAAACCGAGGAGACAAGGAGGAAACCAAGAGGCAGCATGGGGAAGAGAGAGGGACAAGTTCCACCATAATGAGCTTCCACTAATTTCAAATAAATGAGCTAAACTTCAGCTCATTATGAGCTAACCAAGAGCTCAAAATTAATGAGCTAGCACTTTTGAAAATATAGCTCAACACCAAAACAACCACCACCTCCCAACATCAACACCAGCTCAAAACCAAGAACCATAAGCTCAACCTGAGAACCTACAGCAGCCCAAGGGACCCAAACAAGCTAGCAAACCAAGGTCTTCCAAAGCCCAAGCACAACCTACCATGATGATTGGATGCCTTCCATCATTGGATAGCTAAAAAAATATAAAACTATATGAAAAACTAATGTTCAATGTTTGATAATAAAAATACAAAAATTATGAATGTATCATCTGCCGTCTTCAATATAATTGGTTGATTGTGGAAACAGTGGTTGTAACTGCTAGTTCAGATGCATTGTTGCCGGAGGCTTTGATGGTCATTGCCAGTGGACTATTGGAACTGATAGTCACTATTAGAGATTGGTACTAAGTTATGAGCTAACTTTTAGTTATAGAAAAAGCTTATAGGACATCCCTAGTAGGTTTAGGTTTGACCTTTAGAATGCCATATCCATTTAGCTTGGGAAATATGAGCCTTTGACGAGTGATGCTCATGAGTTAAATGGGTAGCCTCAACCTTTTGATGCGCTCTTCAATTTACCAACTTTATATATTCCTTTAAAGATTCTCATCTTTACGGCCAGCTTGGGACTTTTGGATGACTACAATAGTTGTGCATGCCTACGATATCTGGAGTAGTTACTGCCTTGATTGATTGGTTTCTGCTTATTTAGTTTTTAAGCCACAACTTGATAGAAACTAATCCATCATCTATTGTGAAAATAACTTGTCTGAAATAAATTGTTTGAAAAGCTACCCAAATTTTTTTTAGATAAAATCAAACGCACTTTCTTTGTCTCAGCTTATGCCATTGCAAAGTAGGTAAAAAGATTAACCAAATCACGTTTAAACAGAATTTGAACTTATGCTTCATTTTGGTTTCTGCTTGAGGGTTATTGGTGGAAATATTGAGGTTCCTGTTTTAGCTCAAGTATTTTCATAATTCCTTCTACAAGACTATCTTAAACAAATTGGCATTCAAGTATTTTCAACATTGTCAATTAATATTTTCATAATTGACAGACTGACAAATTGGTTTTAGTTGAAATCTGATGGACCGGTTCACCCGGTCCGGCCTGGACCCGTGCGGGTCTACAGGCGGAAGAGAGGGGGGGCGGGTGGACTGGCTGGACCAAAGGGACCCACCCACTTAAGTGGGGGTAATTTGGGGATGGGAGGAATTTTGGGATGGTATGAAGAGGGCCATTAGGGTTTAGTTTTGGGGATGATGAAAAGGGAAGTCTCTTTCTAGTTTTCTTCTCCTAGTCTTCTTCTTGTTCTTTTCTAGGGTTTTCTTGTGGGAGATCTTGTCCTCCTTGAAGTGGACAAACTTATCTTGTTTTCTCTTGGCTTTCTAATGCAAAGGTTCTTGTCTTTCATCCCAACTCTCTTGTGATTTTTTCTCTTTGATTTTGGTGGAGAAATTCCTCTCTTTTGGGGGAAATTAGGGCAAAACCGAAATTGTGAAACCCTAGGGCGTATCAAAATCACATGCTGATCTTTTGACCATTTACTCAAGGGAATCTGCTTGACAGAAGTGATTGACTTAACAATTATTTCATCATTTTGACTTTCTTATCAAATCTGTTGTTATTTTTTTGCTAAAAAAATCTATTGGTTTTGCCAAGGGAATAGCAAGCTAAATAAAAGTTCTGTTTTTTTTTTTATGATTCATACAATTGGCTATGGACTTAGGAAAGAGAAAAGAGAAATATAATGGCCAAGGCAAAAGATAAATACCCTAAAGATGTTGGTCATGTTAGATGCATTAAAAGAAAAGATAATAAGATCTTTGCTAAAGATGGAGATATGAAGTATATGCTGAACTCTACTTTTAGAAATTATTAAAGGAGTTTTAATTAGGAAATATTTATTTGAAGAACATAATGATGAAGTATGTTATAGATTGTGCTCAAAATGTGAATTGCAGTTAGGTTTGTACAGTATGCATTAAGTAATGCTTTAGTTTCAATTGAGACTTGGAGAATTATGAATGTTATTATAGTAATTTGGTTTGTAAAAAAATTCATTGGAATTTTGATGGCAAAGAGTATGCCAAATGATTGAAGAAGATGCATTTTGTTGCTGCTATTTAAGAACAAGTGAGGTATTAGGATTGTTTAATTTTTGAAAAGTCATACTTTTGATCCATATAATATAATTACGGAGAGAGTAATGGAGCATATAGACTTTGAAAGTTGTGCTCATATTAGCAAATCAGATTAGTTTTAGCTGGAAGGTTGCTTGTGATTTTTTTGTGTGCTAAAACAATTAATTGAAAGCAAGAGAGCAATGGAAGGATCATCAAATGTTTTAAATTCATTTTAAGAATGTTTTTGATAGAGTAGCACAGTATTTGATTTGTTGTTCATTAGGGAAAATTTATATGCCATAGGTATGTTGAAGTTATAAATAATATGTATAATAAAATATTGACTAGTACTAAAATAAATATAGAATGATGAAATAATTGTCATCACAGTTGGATTAAATTAATGATCTACATAGATCTCTTTGGTGGTAGCTACGTGAATTTTTGTGAAGGTTATTCAAAGTGAGGTATTTTGGTGTATTGTTTTTATAGATGATGTAATTCTATCCAGTGAGAGATTTAAAATGTAAGAAAAATATGGAAAATTTTTAGAACATTAAAGAGCTTAGTATTAACAGAAATGACCGAGTATATGATATATAATTTTAGTTGGTATGATATAAATAATTATTACTCAATATTATTAGAAAATAAAATTATAGTTATGTATTTTCTCTAATACCTAATTTTAAAATTAAGCTTACTGAGCCTCATAGCTCATCAATATTTTCTTACTGGTTGTTGTTATAGGAAAATGAAAGGAGATTGTTGCAGATTAATAGATGCAAGTTAATTCTTCTTTTTATGTTAAAGTTATCTTTGTTAGTAAGTCTACTTGTGAGGCATGAAAACATTTCAGAAATGGATTTTTTTATAATTTCTTTAGTGGCTCTGTAAGTATCTTAGTTATATTATGTAGAAGAATTAGGATATTACTTCTATAGTTAATGTTGGTGGTTAAAATGGTGAAGCTCATTAGATTGACTATGGAGCAATAGAATATCATAGATATTTGAAGGCAAAGTTTGTAAGATTACAATTAGGCCAACTATATTATTTGATTTTGAGGGTTGGACAACAAAGAAGTCATTGATATGCAAATCGAGTGTAATTGAAGTATGAATATTAAGATGAATCTATTAAAATATTTAAGATACACGTGTCAGACAGACTTGCCCAATTTGTATTTAATATTTTTTTAATCGGACACGTTTTCGGCGTGTCCGATACGTGTCGGAGGAGTGTCGGACACGTATCCTGTCGGACACTGCACGCATTTTTGAGGAGAAGTGTTGGTGCATCATAGGTAGCGAGTCGAGTCGAGTATCTGCCTAATCTAGCCAAGCTTGTTTAGTTCTTATTGAGCTCGAGCTCGACTCATGCTCTTTTATTAAGCTCGTGCTTTGTTTTTTAAAAAAATTATAGGCTCGAGCTTGGCTTGATTGATCAAGCATATTTGGAAAGCTCGAGCTTGACTTGATTGTTGAGCGTGATTTCTAGTTTTAAATTAAAATTTTCAAATTTTTTTAGAATTTTTATTTTTAATATAGAATTAAGTCATAATTTAGAAATAATGAGTCATTTAACTAATTTTTTTTTAGAGTTTTTATTTTTATTGTATAATATTAATTTAAACTAATTTTAAATATATTTTAAGTTAATAGAGTAGCTCAATGAGCTTACAATCCGAGCTAGATTGAGCTCAATCTCGTTTAATATACGAGCTCGAGTATAGGCTCGAGCTCGAATTTGTGGCCTGATAAACTCGGCTCATGAGCTTGTTAATGAGTCGAGCTAGAGCCAACTCAGATCACTTACACTCTTAAGCGTATCCCATGAACTAAGATCAAACACAAATGGAATTTGCTTACACGACTATGGTTTGCATATATAGTTCCCATAATGTCACATCTAGTTGGGTATGAATGGACTCGATTGTTGAGTGTGATTTCTTAGTTTTAAATTAAAATTTTCAAAAAAATTTAGAATTTTTATGTTTTAATATAGAATTAAGTCATAATTTAGAAATAATGAGTCATTTAACTAAAATTTTTTAGAGTTTTTATTTTTATTGTATAATACTAATTTAAATTAATTTTAAATATATTTTAAGTTAATAGAGTAGCTCAACGAGCTTACGATCCGAGCTAGGTTGAGCTCAATCTCGTTTAATATACGAGCTCGAGTATAGACTTGAGCTCGAATTTGTGGCCTGATAAACTCGACTCATGAGCTTGTTAATGAGTCGAGCTAGAGCCGACTCAGATCACTTACACCATTAAGCGTATCCCATGAACTAAGATCAAACACAAATGGAATTTGCTTACATGACTATGGTTTGCATATATAGTTCCCATAATGTCACATCTAGTTGGGTATGAATGCACCTTAATGTTCATTTTGTATTTATTAACTTTGCTTCATTCCAATCAACAGTATGCCAACGACCACAACAACAACAACAACAACAACTTCAAGCCTTTATCCCACTACGTGGGGTCGGCTACATGAATCCTTTTTCTCCATTGAGTCCTATTAAAAGTCAAATTCTCGTTTAAATCTAATAAAGAAAGGTCATTCCTAATATTTTCTAACCAAGTCTTTTTAGGTCTACCCCTACCTTTCTTAACATAAGTCAAGTCTAATACATCTACTCTCCTAACCGGGTCATCGGAAGGCCGCCATTTTATATGACCAAACCATCTAAGGCGACTCTCTCTAATCTTATCTTCTATTGGAGCTACTCCAACCGTTTCGCGTATATGCTCATTTCGTATCCTATCTCTAAGGGTAAAGCCACTCATCCACCTGAGTATTCTCATCTCTGCCAACGACCACATGGTTTCAAAAACATCCATGAAGAGGCCAGACTAAACTTTGAAGAATGTAATACAAGGAAAAAGAAAACATGTGGATATACTCAATGAGCCAAACTTTTGAAAGTGGTGCTGGTGTGTATATATATAAGTGAAGTGAGATTTTCTGTGCATTTGCTTTCTTTGAATTGGTTGCAGAAAAAAATGGAGCCTCAAATTTATTTTATAGCTTTTGTCAGCTATGGATAAGAACACAAAAAGAGGGCAGTTCAAACAAATAATTGGCATTGTAGAGAAAGCAGCCTTAGCATCCTTGAAAAAGAAAGATGTCACCGAAATTACTTTCCTTTTATAAAAAAAATATAGGAAGATTTGATTTTCTGGATTTCAAAGAATATTAATGATTCTTTTTCATATATTTTCCTGTTTCTCCTTTTAAATTGTGCCATTATGTTTGTAGGTGGTTAGACTTGCCACCTTGTTGTACTTTGGTGCTTATTTCAAAGTTTTAGGTGCATGGTCATGACTTTTATCACTTATAGTCCAATTTTAGTTGACATGTTTCCAATTAAAGCATAGATGGGTATAAAGGCATGAAATCACCTAAAGCAACAAAATTGATATGCGGCATATTGTGCTTGGTTTAGTGTAGTTTATAAATTATTCTGAGCTTGCTTATTAGAAGCGGCAATTCAAGCATAGGATGCTGAATAAGTAGGCTTTTCTACATGGCGTGACAATTAGTTGTTCTGCTGTCACGATCCGGCCCGGCTAGCCCGATAAAATCGGGGCGGGAACAGTAGTCGTACGAAAAATACTAATAAAACATATACAGTTCAAATGAAAAACTTTAATTTCATAACATAAACATCGTCTATTATATGAAAGAGCCACTAAACAACATCAACTTCAGATAGTACAAACTGTTCAATTGTCTCAAGACCACTAAAATTTTCAAACTCATGATTACATAAACTCCACTTACTGTTCATACTCAGATACAAACTCAAATTTAGACTTAAAACATAAAAATAAATGGAACCTTTCTTCCTTCTAAGGACCCCTACGACGATAAGTGTACGGTCGTCGTGCAGCCATTATTTCTCTCCTAAAAAATATTTCCAAATGAGGAATGAGCCAACGCTCAGCAGGTAATTCATGTCTTTAAATAAAAATTTACATAAAACTAACGAATTCGTGTCATATAAAACTTTTCAATCAATTGACATGAATTACCTGCTGAGCGTTGGCTCATTCCTCATTTGGAAATATTTTTCAGGAGAGAAATAATGGCTGCACGACGACTGTACACTTATCGTTGTAGGGGTCCTCAGGAGGAAGAAAGGTTCCATTTATTTTTATGTTTTAAGTCTAAATTTGAGTTTGTATCTTAGTATGAACAGTAAATGGAGTTTATGTAATGATGAGTTTGAAAATTTTAGTGGTCTTGGACAATTGAACAATTTGTACTATCTGAAGTTGATGTTGTTTAGTGGCTCTTTCATATACTAGACAATGTTTATGTTATGAAATTAAAGTTTTTCATTTGAACTATATATGTTTTATTAGTATTTTTCGTACGACTACTGTTCCCGCCTCGATTTTATCGGGCTAGCCGGGCCGGGTCGTGACATCTGCTTCTCAATACACATCACAAATGGAATAATAAAATTTTTTGGGGTATATTTAGGCTAATTAAGACAAACTCACACACACATCACATACGTAAGACACAAATCCAAAATCTTTTGGTTGGTAGCCAAACCTCCCAACTAACAAGCCCAAATGAGCCGCACGAATAATATTTTTCAATCTTTGCTTTCCTGAATATTTTGCTTTCCTGAATATCCCAAGCAATTTTTATTTATTTATGACCAACTATTTAGTTTGTTCTAGAAAGTACTAGAAACCAAGCTGACCTGAAATCAACCGTTTCTCAACTGATTTATAGATTTATAAGGCTGTAAGCTATAGCTTGGAAAGAATCAGTTTACACAGAGATCTTTTAGGTCATAAAACTTTTGGGTTGCGGGCTATCTTGGGACTAGTCTTTTTTTTCATTGAACATGTATATTTGCTATTTCTAAACAGTCATATGCCTAGATATTTTATTGAGACTAGTGGATAAATTGAGAAATAAATGATTGATTCTTAGTAGTGCTTATTCATAGATTTATAAAGTGCGTGCTAGTTCTATCTGCATTAACTTGAAGTCGTTTTGGTCTGTGGCTTATTTTCATCAATGCTATCCTACATCTGCTATGTTTATTACTTGAACTTGATGCATTTATTGTCTTTCTCAGGAAAGAGGACTTCACTCTCGCCAATACTCATTCATAACATATCTTGCCTACTTACTATATGCTCCACTTTATATTGCTGGACCAATTGTGAGCTTTAATGCATTTGCTTCACAGGTCAGTTCTGATTTTGAAACTGCAAAGTAATTAATGTTTATTTGCTGTGTTAATTTCTTTTTCATAGACTTTTTGTCATTCATTTTGTAATTAATTGTTTTATTGTGAAAAACTTATGAAATTGCAATTAGATCAATATTATTACATGGATTTGATGCATTCAATATTTTTAGTTTATTTTTGTTTTAATGTATTTTGAACAATATTAGTTGTGTTTTATGTTTTTTAAGCTATCCTATGATGGTTGGGCTTCCAATGATCATGGTAGGAATGTGCTAGGCATGGCAAGCCTTGGGTTTGCTTGCTCTTGGGTCCATTTCGTCCTTAGGCTGCCTGCTAATTTCGGTTTGGTGAAGTTGCCGCTCTCGGGCGGGCCTTGGTTGCTTGGTGTTGAGCTCAAAATTATGGAATTCTACTTGGTGTTAGCTCATAAATGTTGAGCTGAAGTTTAGCTCAATGATTGGAGATTAAATGCACTTCCTAGCTCATTAAATCAAAAAGGTATGCTTTTGTTTCAAGCTCATTATTGAGGAGCTCAATGGAGTGGACTTGTGCCTTTTCTTCTTTCTTTTTCTTCTCGGTTTCCCCTTGCTGGTTGGTTTTCTGTGATCTGCCCCTTTGTCTCCTGTGCTGGCTTTTCGGGCCCATTGCTGGCTGATTTCTTGTGACCAGATGCTTTGCATCCTGTGCTGGCTTTTCGGGTCCCTTGCTGGCTGGTTTCCCGTGGCTGTTTGGGGGGGAATTCCGTGAGTTTTCTATGTTTTTCTGTGCAGAATTTCTGCTGCAGTTTTTGCTGTCTTTTGGCCTTCTAATTGGTGACTTTTGGCCTTTCATTTCCCCAATTCTTATTGGATTTGGTTGGAGGTGTTATGGCTATTTTTCTACCTTCTTTTGCCTATAAAATGGAGATGTTTTGACATGGAAAAGATTGTTGAAAATCTGAGAAAAAATCTCTACAAAAACCTGATGGTTTCATCTTTGAAAAGCTTGAGAGCTTGTTCCATCCCCCCTTTCCTCCTCTCTATTTCGTATTGGCTTCTAACCCTTTCTTCTCTACGCAAGTTCCACTCCACTTGTATCCTTCTTCTTGAGCTTTGGAAGTGTATGTTGGCTGAAATTTGGAGACATTTGCCGGAGGAGTTTGGAAAGGACGTTGGACTCTTTTGCAGTGGTGGACCCTTGGTTTGCAAGCTTAAGCACAATTTTCTTAAATTTTCTACTTTCGTTGCATTTGAGGAGACCGCTAGATGGTTTTAATGAGGATAGTGTTTTTATGTTTTTATTTTGTTTTGTTCGATTTGGCTTTTGTTTCTCCTAAGTTTGTTTGGATATTTGCAAGCTACATATGAATTGAGTTTGGTTTAAGTCTTGTCCTGGTGTTATCCAATTTGTCTCTTTACTCTAGTTTTGCTCACATCAGGATTCAAGTATTGAGCATAAGTCACTTATAAGCAAGTTGAGCATGTATAAATGCATATGTTGAGTTTGATGTGCTATAATGCTAGGAAGAGTAGAGTGAGAAACCAAAAATTTCGTGCATGCCCAACTCTTCTGAGGGGTTTGTTTTGAGTAAAATTTTCAGAAGATATTAGATTGTAGATAAGACACTATACAAATATTTTGTTCTCCCTTTGTGAGCATTTTGTTATCTAATTTTTAGGTTTTTTCTAGGCGCAAACACCTATGATTAATTACCCTCCCAATAATGAGTGAGAGCTTTAGATTAATTCTAGTTGATAGGTGCTAAATATGTATTTTATAATAGTTGTAATTTTTGGGCTTTAGGATTGAAGAAAATTCACTGTATTTAGCTTAAAAATGGATGGTGTGGGGAATGATGATGAACCTGTTCAAGATCTTTTAAGTTTCGTCGTCCCAAGTTATCATTAACTTTTGTCTACTTAGTCAAAGGAGGTAGATGACCAAATCCGATTGAAGGATCATTGTTGGAAGCTATGAGTTGTTTCATCCTAGGGCTTCTTATATGTGTTCATGAAGTTTCATTTTGAGTTTTAATATACCTTTTTCCCACTTGTGTATATATAGTGCTGAACTGGTGGTGATCATTATGACTGAGTTTCTTGCTATGGATTTAAAATAACGTATTTTATTTCTTGCAGCTGGTCCGAAATTTGAATTTTGTTCTCTTTATTCTTTATATGTAACTATTTTTCTAATTTTCATTATTTGTTGCATTCGTGTCTAGTAACTTATTTTTGTATATTGCTTTTCAAGATTTGTGCAAGCTCAATTTTCTGAAAATTTTGGCATTAGTTTTTGTGCAACGCACTTATGATGCAGGGTGATGTGTATTGGCTCCATTTTTGCATCACCCTTAACAGAGGGTTTGTTTTTGGGCTTTACCATCATTTTAAGCTACATGTCACGATGCACACAAGATAACCATCTTTCTAATCAAAGATGACCATTAAAAGGATTTTAAAACATTCCATAACATAAGTGTATATTTTATCATATCTTAAATGTGTTATTTTCATAAATTATATGTCATAGGAGCACTAGCCATATTTTACCATTTAAGATACATTCTGATGCGGACATCCGACGATGAACAATATTCATAGGAAGAGTCAAAGATCGACGACCGAGATCACTCCGTTTTATTTTAGTTTATTAATTGTATTTTGATTTAATTTTGCAATTTTCTGTTTTTACCCCTTTATTTAAGAGTCTTGTCTTATGTAAAACCCAAGGGACAAATATGTCTTTTAGTTTCTTTTGAGACCTATATATAGAGGTCCATTCTCTTGTATTAGGTATGATGGATTATTAAAAAAAAAGGTTTGCACTTGTGTTTTTTGGAAAGAACTTGGGTGAGATTTCTATGGGAGGGAATCGTAGTTTCCACCAGCCTCAGGATGGGTCCGGGCTCGTGGCTTGAAGTCTCTTAGTGAAGGGCGATGCATCACCCGTCAGTTGCAGGAAGTGTCCGAGCTCATGGTTTTATCTTTTGTTTCTTTTTTTTGTTTCTCTTCCCTCCACCCTCTCTCTAATCCGAACATCACCACCCTTTCTTTCCCCACCTCCAACCGTTGGCCACTCCACCACAACCCACCGGCCAAGCAATTTCTTGCACCCTACTCGCCGGCTACACCCTACCTTACCTCCATAGTTGCCGGCCTTCTTTCATCCATTGACTCCCACAATTTCATCTTGTACTGAAAATTCCTATTATATACATCTTAATTTGGTAATGAATTTGAATTCAAAATTCAAATTAATTTGAATTTGAATTTGTTTCCTAAATTAGGATTCTTATTTTAGGAAAGATGTTTAAATTAGGTCTAATTTAATTTCTAATTGGATTTGATTTAATTTCTTCTCATCAATTAAATAGCTTTGATTAGGCAAGTTATAAAGTCCCTTACCTAATCCCTCTCTCCCTCTTAAAGTCGCCGGTCACCTAACCCTAATTCCTAGCCTAACCGCCAGCTGGCCTCTTTCCCTAATCCCGCTTTGCCTTCAAATTTGAATTCCTATTCAAGACTTTCCTTTTATTAAATGTCTTAATTTAGGAAAGTTTTCAAATTTCAAATTCAAATCAATTTAAATTTGAAATTCTTTCATAAAATAAGTTCAATCTCATTTGGAAACTTCCCTTATATTCTCAAATCTGAAATTTAATTCAGATTTTAAATCAATCACCACATTCAACGAACCTGGACACCCTCTCTCCTCTCCCTCTCTAGGTTGGCCCCTCCCCTCTTTCTCCAATCCACTTAATTCCCATTAATTCCCCCCTTTTTGGGGCCTTAGTTCATCCTTAATTAAAGGGATAATTTTTCTTTCCATACCCATTTGAAATTCAAATTTCAAATCACGTAATCACCTTCCCCTTTCACCTTTCCTCTTTCCCTCCAGTTTCAAACCAAGCAATTATAACTTTCCATATTGGCAAAGTTTTAAATTAGGAAGGTTTTCAAAATTCATAATTTTAATCATGGTTTGTTGCTCGCATTCTACATCAGTTTGGTATCAGAGTATGGTTGCTCGGGATGCGAACTCGACGGAGTCGAGCTCTTTTCCACCCCGGGAGAATGATATGGACATCCGATGAAGGACGATATTCACAGGAAGAGTCAAAGATCGACAATCGAGATCACTCCGTTTTATTTTAGTTTATTAATTATATTTTGATTTAATTTTGTTATCTCTTTTTACTCTTTTATTTAAGAGTCTTGTCTTATGTAAGCCCAAGGGGCAAAATGTGTCTTTTAATTTCTTTTGAGGCCTATATATAGAGGCTCCTTCTCTTGTATTAGTTATGATGGAATTATAATAAAATTTGTGTTCTGCACTTGTGTTCTTTTGGGAGGATGTTAGTGAGATTCCTATGGGAAGGAATCGAAGTTTTCACCATCCATAGGGTGGATTCGGGCTCGTGGCTTGAAGTCTGTTGGAGAAGGGCAATGTATCACCCGTCAGTTTTTGGAAGAGTCCAAGGCTCGCTGTTTTATCTTTTATCTTTTGTTTCTTTATTTTTTGTTCCTTATTGTTCATAGTCGCCATCTTCATCCTCTCCCTACTTCCACCAAACCGGCCTTAGCTCACCACCACTCACGGCCAAGCCACAAGCCGCCGGCCCTCCCCTTGGTTTCCTCCCATCTCCACTTGCCATCAAGTCTTTCCTAAATTAGTTTTCATATTTTAGGTAACTATCTTAATGATCAAATTCAAATCTATTTGAATTTGAATAGTTGCCTAATTTATAAATCCTATTTTAGAAAACTTACTAATTCATATCCTATTTAAATTTTGAATTAAATTGAGATGAAATATTTCATTTCAAATTTAATTTATTAATTTAGGAAAACTTTGAATGCCTCATTAAACTCCCTCCTTTATTCCCTTTTCCTTATCTTAATAATTCAAGTTTGAAAATTCCTTAAGTTCACATTCATCGTATGTGGACACACTCAACATATGTGGATGCCTTCCCTTTTTCTCTTCTTTTGGCCAACCCCCTCCGTTTTACATCA